AAACCCCAAACCCTAAGCCCTTAAGCCCTCCCGGAATTCTGGGTCCCTTCTTGGGAATGCCATGGTCGCACGCAGATCGCCGATGCATCCCGGCCCCGTGGAGCTGCCGAGGCTCCAAAAAATGGTGGCTCGCAGAGCGGCTGATCGGACAAGTCGGCATCTGGGTTCTCAAGTAGTACCCTTTTAGGGTTTAGGGTTCAGGGTTTTGCCCTTTTTCTTTTGGGGTTCTCCAGCATAGTACCCTTCTTGCCCTTTTTCTTTTTGGGGTTCCCTTAATAAAGCCATATTAGTAGGAAGAAGGGTACCCTTATTATTTAGGGGCTACTGGGGAACCTAGGCATGTTGTTGAACAGCGTGAGTCTTCCAGCGAGAATTCTGGATGGGGTTGCGCTGTCAGAAAGCTACAGGGAGTTTCTCACTGACCATGGCGGATGTCTCGCTGCTCAATGGACGATGGAGCTTCTCCACGTTGAGCTTGGCATGTCCCGTTCTGAAACACACGGTGATTGGGCCCACGCGCTTGGAGTCGACGGCATCGCAGCTCCGTTCAGCACATTTTTCCGAGGCGACCGGGCCTGTCTGATGTTTTTTCATCAGCTGCTCTGGGGCAGTGGTACTGCTTGGTCTTCTGTGGCCGCCAGTGGCTGGAGTACCTTCGCCTTGCTTGGGAGGCTCTCCAAGGCTTTCCAGCTCTACCTGGAAAGGCAGGGCAGGCCGTCGAGCAAAGCTTTGGAGGGCCTGCTGTCGCTGCAACTGACGGTGGAGAGGCGCAACATCGCTGAGCAGCTGCCAGAACTGATCCAGACAGCTCTTTCCAGCTTGAAAGCTACGAATATGTCTGCACCATGGAAAGTTCGAGCAGCAACTGCAGCGCAAGCAGAAGATCTCTTGCGAGAATGGTCGCGTGAAGCTCTCTACCGTGGGCTGCCACCTTGGCAGGTGGTGGCATTATTATTCTTTAAAATGATAAGATATAATGAAAACTATGATAGAATAGAGTATAATATAACATAATCGAGTGTAACGTCATAGAATATACTGATATAGTATGATATAATACAAAATGATATAATATAGTATAACAAAACATATTATAATCCAATGCCATAGCTGGCCCTATGTATGTGGGTCTAAGGCAAAAAGCTTGAGCTTGTTGAGGCTCGGTTATTGAAGAAGAGAGGTGATATAATATGGTATGCTAGAGTATAAACAGATAAACTTCAATATAGTACAATATAGAAATTTAGTATAATGCACTATAATCTGATACAATATAATATAATGTTATTTTGTAACAAACAAGGTCAAGCCGGGAACCCAAAAACCAACGGAACATGCACATGAGTTGTAGACGTCGTAGTAATAGCGCAAGGGAACCTTTTTTTCTGCATGGGGTGCGACGTTTCCGTTCCCGTGTACCGTTATCGCTCTCTGCCCCTGCCCCTTCCCTACACCCGTGCACCCCCATGCACCGTTATCACTCTCTGCCCCCGTCCCCTCCCTGCACCTCCGTGTACGCGTGCACCGTCCCCGTGCACCGCTATCGCTCTCTGCCCCGGCCCCCTTCCTGCACCTTCCCGTGCACCCGTGCACCGTTCCCGTGTACCGATATCGCTCTCTGCCGCTGCCCCTTCCCTATAGTGCGCCGTTATCGCTCTCTGCCCCGGTCCCCTTCCTGCACCTTCCCGTGCACCCTTGCACCGTCCCCGTGCACCGTTATCGCTCTCTGCCCTAATCCCCACCTGTGCACCGTTCTCGTGTCCCTTTATCGCTCTCTGCCCCTTCCCTACACCTGTGCACCGTCCCCGTGCACCGTTACCGCTCTCTGCCCCGGTCCCCTCCCTGCACCTCCGCGTACCCGTGCACCGTCCCCGTGCGCCGTTATCGCTCTCTGCCCCGGAACCCTTCCTGCACCTTCCCGTGCACCCGTGCACCGTTCCCCGTGTACCGTTAT